ATTCTGTGGAGACCCAGCCCGGTCGGCTGTTAGTGGTGGACCACATCCTTTGTGCTGCTTCATTACTGCAGCGTCTGCCCTTGAGAAGCGTTTCCTAGTGTAGTGTAGTAGCCTCACACAAGAAGGGAACCCCCAAACACACACCGGGTCTCCGTGCAGCCCAGTCGGGGCTTGCTGTCACGGTTTTCTTGCCTCCCTCTGCCTCTGGGGGCCGCCATTTCAGCCGTCACCCTGCACCTGCCCTAAATTTGTTGATTGGATTTTGGGCGGCTGCTGTTCTGTTACCGTTCGCATCCTGCGTTCTGTGGATCCCCTTGCTCTACTCGTGTGCTGCTGAGGGTTAAACTCAGGGCAAGTGCTCCATCCCTGAGTTAACGCCAGTGCTTCCTTTAAAGAAAGAAGGCTTTCAATTAAATTATCTGCATGTGTGTTTCTGTCTCGATGGTGCTGTGTCCATTTGAATGCAATTGTCCCTGCAAGCCGGTGGAGGGCTTGGCTCTCCCGGAGCTGGAGTGTCCTCTCCAACAGCAGTGTGTCTTCTCTTCCTCTGAGACATCTTGTTTTAATGTATTTGGGCACCTTTTAAAAATTATTTTAATGAGTTTAGTTTTCCCATTTGTGATAAGAAAATGTAATGGGAATAGAAAGGCTGTTTTTTCTGTATTTTTACTGTCCAAATAATTCTTTAAAAAGATTCCATTCCTAGCCGGGCGGTGGTGGTGCACGCCTTTAATCCCAGCACTCGGGAGGCAGAGCCAGGTGGATCTCTGTGAGTTCGAGGCCAGCCTGGGCTACCAAGTGAGCTCCAGGAAAGGCGCAAAGCTACACAGAGAAACCCTGTCTCGAAAAACCAAAAAAAAAGATTCCATTCCTATTTGGAGACACTTTTTTGCTATAGCAAGGTGTCTTCTGGTCCTCTCTCTCTCTGTCTGTCTGTCTCCTTTGTTTTGAGACAAGTTTCTCTGTAGCCCTGGCTGTCCTGGAACTCACAGAGATTTGCCTGCCTGTGTCTCCAAGTGCTGGGATTAAAGGTGTGCGCCACCTCCCACCCACCCACCCCCCTTTTTTTTAACTGTACAAAGAAATATTCATTCTCCTAGAAGCTTACCAGTCCTTACTCTGCCCTGCTCCCCGTTTTGACCCTCCTTGCTGGCCTGACTGTGTGCGGTCATGTTGGTATGTCCTCTCAGGTCTTAGATACATCTGCAATTATATCTACATGTGTTGAGGGAAATAAACGATGATTATTTTTTGTCTGTCCTTTACTCTTATATTGTTCAGTCTGATTCTTTTTTGTGAGTTGTTTCTAGATGCATTGGAAACACACTCAGCAGCATCTTATTTCCACACCATCTCCTCTAGTATGTTTTCAAAATTCATCATGTCTTTGGCCATAAAGTCCTGTGTCCAAAAAAGCCAAATCAAATCAGATAGACTAGATAATACTATGATTGAAGCCAGCTTGGTGAGGGCTCATATGACAACTCGGCCCTGTGTTTGATCCCCAGAAGCTCGCCTTATAATCCTGGCACTGAGGAGGGAAAGGCGGGAGGAGTCCTGGCTCTCACCAGTTAGGCAGTCTGGCCTAGTGGTGAGCTCCATACCAAGGAGAGCCCCGTCTCAAAGGAGAGGGTGTTCCTGGGGTGATGCCCAAGGTTATTCTCTGGCCTCAGTACTTGGGCACACACTCATGCTTGCACCCATACACATGTGTACTCACACACATGCAAACACATACACACACTTTTTTTTTTTTTTTTCAAATAGGAATGATAAGCTTTAGAAAGAGAAATTGAGTGTTTTCCTGTCCTGGTTTTGACTCAGTAGTCAACCCTCAACATGCCTGGAGTATTGATTCTAGGACCTGGTAGATAAAAGATTGCTCCCTTTCATTATATAAAGTGGCATGCATGATAATTTCGTGTAACCCTCACACAACCTCCTGATCTGTAAATATTCTTCAGATCACCTGTGCTCATTCAGTATAAATGCTGTATAAACAGTTGTGATACTGTGCTGCTTAGCAAATGAAAACAAGAACAGAAAGTGTACGTGTTGGTCGAGATGCCATTATCCCCAAAGTATTTTCCATTTATTGTTGTTAAATCTATAGGTTCCTAACGTGACTTAGTTTTTGGTTTTGGAGGTGGTAGTGTTTTATATTTTGACACAGGGTCTCTGTGGCAGCCTAGCACACTGTATAGATCAGGCTTGCCCTGAACTTGCACTTCCCCTCCTGCCCTGGCGTCCTGAGTGCTGGGGTTGGGGTGGCAGGTGTGAGCCACCATCCCTTGCTGTTGCCGACTTTTCCGTTTGTAAGGGTGTGTCGCTTCCAGTCGCTGACGTGCTGACCGGTGTCTGTCCTAGGATGCTGAGGAGGACCCTGAGAGAGCCCATCAGATGGTCCTGCTAAGAAAGCTCTGTCTGCCCATGCTGTGCTTCCTCCTCCACACCATACTGCACAGCACCGGCCAGTACCAGGAGTGCCTGCAGCTGGCCGACATGGTGTCCTCCGAGCGCCACAAACTCTACCTGGTATTTTCTAAGGAAGAACTAAGGAAACTTCTGCAGAAGTTAAGGGAATCCTCTCTGATGCTTCTAGACCAGGGGCTTGACCCGCTCGGATATGAAGTTCAGTCATAACTCATCCACTCTCTGATGCCCGTGGCATGGGAGCTGCTTGGTTGTGATCAAATATACATATTTGTAATTATTGGGTTTTTTCCTTTGGCATTCTGGGGGAAAATGTAAAATTTAGGCATTTGAATTTTGTATTATATCAGTATTTCTTTAAGTATTTTTTATTGAAATTATTCAAAATAAATGTTTTGTTCTATAAATACTCGTTTTCTCTTATGTAATAGAATAAATATTTTATTATTTATTTCTGTAATCATAAATCCCTGACACATTAAAATGTAAAGAAAATGGAGAATAAAGAATAGATTAATTTTCAAGCCAGGTAAGTAATTTCTCATCATAAAATTTAGTGTTTTTCTGAATAGTAAAGTTAAGTGAATCTAGCAAGAATATTTTTAAATGGAGCTGGAGAGATGGCTCAGCAGTTAAGAGCATTGGCTGCTCTTCCAGAGGACCAGGATTTATTTCCCAGCATACATATGGTGACCCACAACCGTCTGTAATTCCAGTTCCAGAAGATCTAATGCCCTCTTTTGGCCTCTGTAGGCACCAGGCATAAACAAGATGAACAGAGATACATTCAAGCAAAACATCCACATAAAAATAAAAATTAGCCTGGACCCACATGGGCAGAAAACAATCAGCAGTAGCTCCATCTTCAGATGATCTGACCCCTCTGGCAAGAGCACCTGCACTTAGGTTGCCTAACTCGGCCCGGAGGGAGCCCTTGGTCTCTGCGGGGTGCAGGGTGATTGACATCTGTGACAGGTCACCCGACTCCCCCGATGATGTCTCTCGAGCTTGGAGACCCGGCAGCGCAGATTCCCCGCCAAGGTTACACTCACATACATACACATGATTAGAAATAAATCTTCTCTTATTCAAGAAAGGGGTTATGTAGTAGTATTGTTGAACCAATACTAGTTTTCTTAGGTGTGATCATTGGAGTTGTGGCAATGTAGAGAAGTGCCTCCCCTCATCCTTAGGAGATGCACACTGAAATATTTAGGGTTCAAAGTCATAAGATCTGCACTTTATATTGAGATAGTTAAGCTTTAAAATTAAAGTCTACACAGTTAAAGCAGGGGCTGGAGAGATGGCTCAGCAGTTAAGAGCATTTGACTGTTCTTCCAGAGGACTTGAGTTCAATTCCCAGCAACCACACGGTGGCTCACAGTTAAAGCAACATAGTAAAATAGGAACATTCTAAAGGGAAGAGGAATGTTCATCATTCTAATCTTTCAACTTCCCTTTACATTTTTTGTCAAGATAAAAGGTTTACACAGTGTTCAAAAACTGTAGCAGAACTGAGTATGCAATGTGGGTAATAATGGAACTTTGATTCTGACTTTATCCCAAACCAAAGGGATCAGAATGCATGATGTGAAATTCACAAAGAATCAATAAAAGTTGAGAAAAAACAGTGAATATTAATTTTTATTTCCAAATAATAATACACACAAAACTTGAATGTCCTCTCCAACCCCAAAACTTTGAAGTCGTACTTCACATTTGCTACTATAATAAGCAAATAATATCTTGGTCATACAGGAAAATGTACTTGCTCCTTAGGTTTACAAAGAATTTGTTGGTGAAAGATGTAGTATCTGTGGTTTAAAGTTTTTCGAGGCAAATACACCAAAATATTTTCAAATCTACATTCTGAGTATATGACGGCTATACTGTCTCCAATGTTTAGACTTCTAAAGATAATTAAAAGTACGCAGAGTAAGCCGGGCGGTGGTGGCGCACGCCTTTAGTCCCAGCACTCGGGAGGCAGAGCCAGGCGGATCTCTGTGAGTTCGAGGCCAGCCTGG